AAAAAGAAATTAATTTAATTAAAAAGATAAAAGTAAACTTCAGATAAGACAAAATGTAAATAGGTTAAAATAAAATCGTCACAAATATAATATCTGTTACAAAAAATTGTTAAAAAAATACCAATATAAATAAAAACTAAACTTTAAATCAAACAAATATATGAACCGAGAAAATCCGAGATGTGGTTTTATAAAAAACTTTGCATAATGTGCAATTAAAACTATTTTGAAATTAATGAAAAAAAATTCTCACTTGTCTTGATATTTGTACTCAAAATTGCCATATAAAAAAAGAAACCTTTGATACAATGAATATAATTATTTACTAGTACTAAAATTAAATGATTTAAAATGGTGCAAATAATTTTGTAAGAAATTAGCGCTACAACAAATCGCTAAGCTATTGCACAACCATCACATTTGAACCCCAGTACCGTTAAAGAAGCTGCGCTGCAGTAAAAATTACAGTAATAAAACTGTTATTGTTTTTTTAAATTTAATATAAACATATGTAGATAGAAAGCAATGCTATAATCACACCGTTAAAAATCGAAGTGAAAATAAATAATAAATTGAAAATCAAAATATCATAAGCACACATTGTGATTTATGTGACATTTATTATTATTTGTTAAATAATAACAAGAAAAAATAAAAATTTTTAAAACTTAAAAAAATAATAACAAACGCTTTAAAGGCTAAAAGGTTACTGCTACATTTTCAATATGAGTGCTTCCGCAAGTTTACAGCATTTTACTTATACATACATACTTACATACACAATATATTTTCATTTTTGTTTTACTTTACTTACACATACATACATATATTTTATACCGTTATCTCTAAGTATGCAAGTACCACAGCAAATAAGTTAAACTATCTATGTAAATGTATATGTGAATAGCAATAAAATTATTGTAAGTAATAAGCATTATTTAAATATATACAAAACATAGCGATTTTATATATTAAACTATATGAATAAAAATGTGTTAGTGTTTCAACTGTAAAAAAATTGTGCAGAAATTAAAACTATTACAATTATTATTATTATTACTATGTATAGTTGTCTTAAATGCTTAATTTAATTAGCCATTAACTAATTATTATGAAATACAAAACCCAACAATTCAAAAAATATAAATAAATGCTCAAATTTCCAAAAAAAAAAAAAAAATGCTAAATTGTTTTTTCTTCATAATCCGATAGGTTATACCGCTAGAAATAACCTGGAAATATTTTCAATCGACATCTCGGATAGCGCTTAAGTTACAGATTTGTAAAGTTTAGCCACGCAGTTTAATCAGCTCCTGCAAAATTACGTTTTCCAGAGTTACTTGATGAGCGATTGCTCGGAGGCAAATGATCCGATCAGTATAAAAGTTTTTTCTGCTGGTCCAAAGGTTCAGCGCGCCTTTTCTCGCGAAACCTCGTAACAATTTTTGAAACATCCTTCTGGTACACTTTTGCTTCAGTTCTTACCTCCTTTTCACATAAGTGAAGTGGCTTTGCAGAAGAGTCCCTCACTATCTCTCTTCACATCCTTTAAAATAATATTTTTGCGAACATGTTTTTGTCAAACATTATATTCTAATAAATAATTTTATTTAATTAAATTAATAAGTTGAAATTAATTCAATACACTTTTTAATATTTTTGAACTACCTGTTGACCTGTTTTCAATACCCGTACATAATTTTGTAGCACAGTTTTCTTCAATTTCATATACATAGCTGTCAGTAAAATTTTCTACAAACTTCATTCGACTTATAGCGGTGGGACCGAGCGGTAGCATTTATTTAAATAAGTATTTTATTTTATTTTTTTTTTTTACGCGATCAAGTTTTTACTTCATCCAGAATATATATATCATAAAATTTGTAATTTCGCTGGTTATACGCAAAGTGCTAGGGATTATCTAACGAAATTCACATAAACGGCAACAATATGACAGAGACTACAAGCCAAGAGTTCAACAAGAAGATTTTCCTTGAGCATTACTGGCAAAAGCAGAAGGAGCTCACACGGCGACAGCGTCAATATAAGACGGTACTCTCGACGAAGTTGAGCACGCGTAAGGAGACGATCATATTGCAGAGCTACCAAAACACCATCGATCAATTGCATTTGGAGAAGGATACATTGCGTGCGCAGATTTGGGTTGCCAGCGGTGAAACGCATCGGCG